ATAAAAGTCCTCCTTACCTCCCCTGCAGAGTCCACGGTTTTGTGGGCATCCTCTCAGTCCCTCTCTGTCTCCACTTAAAATTGACAAGGGAGGAGGGTATAGCTCAAAGTGGTAGAGCACATGCTTAGCATTCATAAGGTCCTGGGTTCAATCTCCAGTACCTCCTCTAAAAAAAGTAAATAAACAAATAAATCTAATTACCACCCACCAATGTTCTTATAAAAACAAAAAAAAACTGACAGAAAATTGTCTTCTAACAGGTGTCACCAATGGAGAGTGCTCATTTCCCCACATCTTCAACAATTCTTGTTATTAAAGTCTTTTAAATTTTTACCAATTTGATGGCCTAGAGAATTACCTGATTGTTTTAATTTACTTTCTCCTGAACTAATGAGCATCTTGAACATCTTACAGGTTTATTGGCCATTTTCATGTCTTCTCTGAATTTCCTGTTCATATCCTTTACTTTTCTTTTAAGTTATTTGTCTTTATCTTCTGAATTTTTTAGATCTTTATACATTCTGGATAGTAAACCCTTTTGCCAGTTAAATATATTATAGGTATTTTCAGCCATTCTGTTACTTTTTAAAAACTTATCTTTCATTGTATAGAAGCCTTTAATTTTTATGAAATTTATTGCTCTTGTTCCCTACTCAGGCTTTTAGGTTTTGTGTCTTTCTTTGGAAAGCCTTTCCCACTTTAAATTAGAAAATACTCTTCTGTATTTTCTTTCAATACTTAGCTTAAGTTTTTGTTTTGTTTTGTTTTAGTTTATTTGTATAGGTCTTTAATACAGCTGGATTTTATCGTGTGAGGTAAGAGTCTGATTTTTTTTCCCAAATGGAAATTGTCTCAAGATCATTGACTGAATAGGCCATCCTTTTCCCACTAATTTGAAATGGGGTATGAACCTTTTAACAGATTTTGGTGGAAAACTGCTTTCTTAGAAAGGACAAAATGTACAAACTGACATCAGCAATGTGTATCTACCCCAGTTTTGCTACAGCTTTCTGAGTATTGGTATGATTATTTTATTGATTGTGAGCTAGTTTAAATTAATTTTTTATTTATATTGGTATATAGTTGTATTCATTTCTCAGTGATGTAAATGAAGGCATTTACTTTATTGAATAGAATCAATGCCAAAATACCTGGTATGGTAAGGAAGCCTATAGAAATGAATAGATGTCTAAAGATGGATAGCTCCCAACCTACCTGCATTTTCTTCCATTTCCTCCCCTGTGCCTCTCATAGGATCTTCTGCAGAAGAGCTGATCCTCATTACAGCCAGGGTGACCACAGAAAAGACACCAAGAACCTGCCTGTATTTTAGTAGTGCTCCAGGAATTCTGCCCTCCAGCCAGCCACCCATGTCCTGCTCAGAAGAGGGAGCAGGAAATGCTACCCTGAGCCGTGAGATGGCTGAGGAGTGTGTCAGTGTCTGGAGCCGTGAAGGTCTTGTGCTCACCAAGCTGCTCACCTCGGTAAGAGCCTCAGATTGTTGGAGTTTCATAAACTGCCGTGCTGAATGCTGTGTCTTGATGGCTTCTGGAGGCAATTTTACCTAGTAGAAAAAGCCCAGGCTTTATAATCCTGCCTCAGAGGCTGTGTGACCTTGAACAAGCATCTGAGCCTCAGCTTCCTCATCTGTAAAACAGAAAATATGATACTGTCTCCTAATTCCAACAAATAAGGATAAATGAGAATGAATATAAAGTGCCTAGTACAATGCCTGATACATAATAAAGATTGGATAAGAGATAGCTATTAGTATTAACTATTGTCTTTAAATACAATAAAACATGATCCTTACCTCAAAGGAATTCAGAACCTGTAATAAGAGGCAGGATGGGCTAATTGCTATCATAGAGATGTGAGGAAAGTGTTATTCAAACAGAATAAGGACCAATTAGCTGTAACTTGAACACTTATGGAGAGTGCTTCACCAACAAGGTGGCATTTAAAAAAGGGAATTGTTTACAATAGTTTATAATGTACAAAGTGCTTTCGGGTTCATTATCTCATTTGATCTTAAAATAGCTTTTTGAGGTAGCTGTTATCCCATTTTACAGATGAGGAAACAAACCTGGAGAGAGGGAGTGAATTGCCCCAGGCCACACAACTTGTTAAGTGGCAGAGCCAGGATTGCACCTTAGAGCCTTCTGATTTCCAAGTCCCAGGCTCATTCTCTCCTGTCAGGATGATTTTTGAAGAGTGAGGAAGATTTGGGCAGGAATGCAGTAGACGGAGTTCATGAGAGGGGAGATACATTCCAGGCAAAGGGATCAATCAGCATAAACACTTAGGAATGACTTAAGGGGAGAAGGTAGAAGGGATGCAGGGGCCAGATCATGAGGCACTGCGATGCTAGGCTGAGATATCACAACTTGATACTGCAGGTCATGGGAGCCACTGGTGCTGGGTGGAGGAGACTAGCTAAATGGAAGAGAGAGAAACCAGTTAGAAGGCTGCTGCATTCTCTTCCTTCACATTTGCAAAGACTGTGGTGAGGAGCATGACCTGGGAGTTTTGGGATCAGAGAAGACCTTGGTTTCCAGATCTGGCCCTGCTTGCATATCTTTAAATGTAGACAGTAATGAACTTTCCTATCTCCTGGAGTCATTATAGGGGTTCAGTTTGATGTTTGGGCAAGAAAGCAGTTTGTAGACCATTGAGACAAATGTTAGCTTATATAATAATAACATTTTCCCTTTAGTTGCTCCCTGGATGTTAACAGCCCCCTTCCCCATGGAGGCGTCTCTCTATAGTCCTTGGACTGGGGATATCTAAGATGTCTTCCCAAGGGAAGATTCTCCACAGTCCCTCTCTCATCATTCCTTCCCCTCCCTGGCCCCACCCCTAGGAGGAGCTGGCTCTGTGTGGCTCCAGGCTGCTGGTTTTGGGCTCCTTCCTGCTTCTCTTCTGTGGCCTTCTATGCTATCTCACTGCTGTGTGCTTCCATCCACGCCGAGAGTCCCACTGGTCTAGAACCCGGCTCTGAGGGCACTGGCCTAGTTCCCTTCTCATTCTCAGGTAAGGTTCTTTGCCTCAGTCCTGTGGGAACAGGGGGTGGGATGGGGGTGGCAATTGTAACTGAGATAGAGTTATATCTAAACTATATGGCTTGGTCTTATTTTTGTACCTTATGTAGATGGAATCATACATATTCTTTTGTGACTGACTTCTTTCGGTGAACGTTCTGATTTTAAGATTCATCCATGGCTTCAGTTCACATCCAAGCTTTTTGGCAACAATGGTGAATTAAGAGGGCTCAGATTTGATGATGTGTCCTATATATGAATCATGTTTGTCTTGCCTTTGTCCTGAAATTCTGATACTCAGTTTTATGATGCAAATTTTGTAAAATTCATCTTGAGCCATTCAAAAGAATTGATTGATGATGCCCATTTACTGGGCACATACTGTGCACCCAAGGACTTCATATGCACCTTCTCTTTTCCTTAGCCATCATTACATTTAGAAAAAGTTGAATCTGCTAACAGGATCCTTGGAGAGACACAGCCTCCAAAGTGGGAGTGGGACATATTGCCTAACTAGTGTGTCAGCTCATTAAGGTTAAAAAAAAATCTCACCCTTTCAGGTGAGTCTTATATAATTTGAAAGTAATATTTTGTGCATCCAGCTCTTAAACTGCTCTAAGCTTCAGCTGGCTGCTGTGCCCTAGGAAGTCTCTGTGGGAGAAGAGGAAATAGCTGAGGCCCAGGGAAGGGCTCTGGCTGGAGGAAGTGGACCCTCCAGATCAACTTTGTGCTTATTTTGCTTAGGGCTAGGCCTGACAGTTCCAACCACTTATGTCAGACAGAAAATGGCGGAGCCCTCTCAGCCATTCTTAGATCTGAGCCGATTGGGAAAGGAAGGCTCCCTGGCTCCTAGAAGATCCTGGGGTCCTGAGGCCTTCTCAGTTGGAATAAGTGCCTGTACCTATCTCTAGTTGTCACTTCCTCTGCTCTTTCCTGTTTCTGCAGTCATTCCAGACCTTCCTCCAGGGGCCCTCTGACCTGCCCTGTGTTTTTATTTTATTTCTCTCCAGGTTGAATCAACTTCTTGAGCCTTGGTTCTGAGTTGGAAGAGATGTTACAAAAAGTGGAGAGCTGGAATGTGGGGGGAAATAAAAGGCTTTTTTGCCCAATGTTTCCCTGGGTGTTTACTGGGGATTGGGTTGAGGTGGGAATTTTAGGGTAGAGAGGCTTGGGAGGTTTGGGGGATTTTTTTCCTTGATGATACTTTAGTTTGGGATACAGGTTGGTATAGGGCATAGGGTACTACAGTTCTTGCCACGGTTGTGACTAGCTTTGGAAAACACCTCGTTTTGATCCCAGAGCTTCCACTTTATGTCTTGTTTTCGTTTATGCAATAAAATAGATAATTCCAGCTAGTTTGAAGAGTCAGGTGGGTGTGGTCATGGAAATTCTTTGACATAAATGCAGTGTGACCTTGTGCAGGTCATGCTGCTGTAAAGGGCCTCAGTTTCCTGAAGGGATTTGACAGATTGAGTTTTCCCAGCAAAGTTTCCTCGAATTTGGGAGCCAGCGTCCAGGCTGGATAGTTACTAACCAGGACAGTCCATTTTCCCGCCTTTTCCGCGCCCAGCGACAGTTCCCTTTCCCCTCCCAACCTCTACCCTGCACGCAGGCGCAGATTATGGCCTCTTACTTCCTTCCATCCTCGCCCCCTCAAAGCTTCCCCTAGCAACAAGCTAAGACTCAGCGCTAAGGCGGGGCGAGCGCATGCGCCGCAACCCTTTCCACCACTAGTTGTCGGACAGCGCGCTGGGCTCCACCCCCTCCAAGACTAGCCCTTCTCTCCGCCTCCTCCCACCCAGGGTCCGCGTGGCGGGGCGCGCGCGCACTCTGGCTGGGTTGCTGCCCAGCTCCCTGGACGCAGCAGTAAGGAGAGAGGGGCGGGGCTGTTTCCTTTCGGGCCCCGCCCCTCCTGGCCCGGCGTCCCTACCGCGCCTGCGCGCTCCCGCCCGGTCTCCATCTTGGAATTGGGAGGAAGAGGGAGAGGGAGACCGGGACGAGACCGGGGCTGTGGTGCGGAGAGAGGCTGAGACTGAGAAGAAGAGAGACAGAAGGCGCGGGGACCGCCCTTAGCTACAAGCTTTCAGCTATCCTCAGGAGAAAGAAGGGGAAAGGGAGGAGGCCGCGGCGGGAGTAGGGGCTGTCACCCTCGGACCCCGGCGTGAGAGGGGCCGTGCGGTCGGACGTCCTCGGGGTAGGCCCCCTGTCGGTGGCCGAAGACCTGGGGCTCAGTCCCATCGGTCCTGAATTTCCGGGCTTGACCCCACGCTTCTCAGATATCGGAGTATCAGCCCCTCAGATTCTAGATATCCGAGACTCGGGTCCAACCTCTCTAAACCTGGGGCTGTTTCATAGGATTTCAGTTATCTGGGGTTCAAGACCCTCCGTGGACCAGTATCCGGGGTTCATTCCCCACGAATTCAGAAATCAGATTAAGTCTCCCCGCGTTCAGATATCTGGGGTTCAGACCCCACAATCAGAAATCCGGGATTCAGCAACTGTCGCCCTCGAGGAGGAGGAGGACTGGACCGCGAGGTCAGATCAGGTTGTCACCCCCTCCCCTCCAGGGGAGGCTTCCCGGGCCCGCCCCTCAGGAAGGGCGAAAGCCGAGGAAGAGGTGGCAAGGGGAAAGGTCTCCTTGCCCCTCTCCCTGCTTGGCAGAACCGCTGGAGGACCCCAGGAGGAGGCGGAGGCGCTGGGGCACCATAGTGACCCCTACCAGGTGAGACATGGGGTGCAGGGGCGCGGGTCCCTGTGTCTAACACTGAGAAGAAAAGGTGCTCCTTTCTGGGAAGCTGGGCCCGGGTAGGCCCTCTACTCAGGATGGGGAAGCCCAGCTGGGCCAGTGGTCAGCCTCTGGCTAGCCTTGCCTTCTGCTGCCACCCTCCTCCCCTTCCTCTTCCCTTCATTATGTCTGGTTGATGGGAGACTTCAGGTGACAGGTCTCTGATGTCACCAGGGGTCACACCCTAGGGTGCTTGAGCTAATCAGATGGGTTTGCATCCTTCTGGTCTTCTCCCTGTTCACTTTGCCCCTCACAGCTACCTCTTCTCCATGATTATAACCCTTATACTTTATTGCTCTAGGGTGTTGATTCCCATCCTTCTGAACCCCATGGTGGGTCTGCTTATCTGTTTTTTAGGTATGGTCTGGTTGGATTCCTTGTCCTTTCAAGGAAGTGTGTGTGTACATTTGTGTGTGGGGGGTGGGGGGGTTCCTGGCACTGTTTCCCCCCAGCTATTGTTACCTTCCAGCCTCTTGCTGTGATGGTATAAGTAATCTCATTTGTCAAGCGATTTATCATTTACGAAGTGCTTTACATCCATTCTCTCATATGACCTTTCCCTCTCCCGTCTGTCAGGTGGGGGGCTCTTTTATTGCTGTCTTCCCATTTTACGGTTGAGAATATTGAGGCTCAGATAGGTTGCCCAAGGTCACCCAGTGGCAGAATCAGGATTTAAACCTAGATCCTTGATCATGTCTTGCCCCTGCTCCATATCTGTCTCTTGTCATCTCTTTTCTTCTGCACCTGGATTTAGAAAGGGGTCCAGAGGAGAATGAGTTGGGGAGAGATTTAAGAATGGAAGGGAGAAGAGCTTCCTTTTTAGGAGGGCTATCAAAAGATTTTCCTCCTGAGAGGCTCTGCCTCCTGCCTTCTGCCTCATGGATTTTTCTCTTTACTGTGACCTTCATCTTTACCCCGATCCTAGTCTTTGGCCTGGGTTCCTCAGAGGGACGTCTCTTCCGACAAATGACAGTGGTGTCTGTTAACAGCTAAAGCCAAGCTGCGGGATGGGTAGGATGATCCCCAAAGTATTAAAGCCTTGTTGTGGTGACCCTGGAGGCAGAGAAGGAAAAAAATCCATATGCTGAGTGTCTGCATAGTGTTCCTAAGTATAAGATCTCAGTACAAATTTCACAACGGCCCCACACCGTAATCCATTTTACTGAAGAGAAGACCAAGTGTAAGGAACTTCCTCAAAGCCCTGTTGCTATACATTACAGATGAAATGCACTGGTAGTGTAGCTTAGGGCGGACAGATTTGAGTGTCCTCATCTGTAGACTGGAGATAACATTGTTTGTTTTTAGAGGTGGTTATGTTTGAGCACAGAGTTGGGTGATTGCTCAGATGTTTGTTATTTGGAGAAGAGGTCCCTTGTGAGGTTTTGCTGGGCATCCCTTACATGTGACCTGGGGTCCTGGGTTGGCATTCTTGGCTGGGTGCTGGTAAAGAGGTCAAAGATTCCTTTGTCAAGTTGTGAGCACCTGCCTTGGTGTGTGGGTGTGTGGTGGGGATGAGAGGTGCTTGGCAGGGTTGCTGGCAGGAGAACGGAGAAAGGGGCTGCTTTGAGCAGCCTGGGAGCTGCTTAGGGCTGGGCTGAGGGCAATCAATCAATCTCCCAGGCTATTCTGAGCCCTCTGCACCCTGGGGGCCCACCAGAGAGTCAGGGTCGCGCCTTGCCCTCCAGCTTCCAGTTGGGCTGAGGAGACAAAATTAACAACACAACAGGAAACAATGCACGACAGAATATAATTACATGCTAAATTGTTAGGTGCTTTTAAGGAGCTAGAACTCTGCCCTGGGAGTCCAACTCTGCTGAAAAGTCCTTTGTGCCTAAATTCCAACAAGTGCTTAGCCAGAAGCCTGGCCTAGAATCCCCTTGGGGGTCTTGGTGTACTGCTGGAGTTTTCAGTACATGGCTGGCTGGGTGCTCTAGGAGCTCTCACCAAGGGCTAGAGTAGTCAGGGGAGGCTTCCTGCAGGAGGGAGCTGAGCTTGAGGTGAGTTGTTGAGAGAGTAATGACTACACAGGCCTTGACTATAGAGGAGAAGGTCCTTCCTTTCTGTGCCTCAGTGACCTCATCTGTGAAATCGTGATCATGATCCTTCCTGCTTGTTTCATGGGGCTGTTTTGAAAGCATGAAGACAGAGGACCAGCTTTGGTCAAATCACTTAATCCCTCTGAGTCCATTTTCTCATCTGTAAAATCGGGGTAATAGTGATACCTTGTAAGGCTGTAGTGAGGATTGAATGAGAGATAATGCATGTAAGGTGCTTACTGTATATTCTCAATAAATGTTGTTTGTACACTGCAAACGTCCTGTACTTGTGTGTGATGTGTATGCCACTGGACTGGACAAGTAAGGTAGCCCAGGTCACAGGCCCCCAGAGCCAGATGCCATTTCTATCCCTGTCCTTTCCATTCTGGGTCTCCTCCCTGCCACGGTGTCACTAGCCCTTTTTGAGAGCGAGTCTCTTGGCCCCTCTGGGCCAGTACCCACTTCTAACAATGGCCGGATTTCCACTGCCTCCGGCCTGGCTGTTTCCTGCTCTCTTCCAGGGTGTGAGAGGTTGAGGGAGGAGGGGGCCTCAACGCCAAGGGGAATAGGAAGATACCTGGAAATATTTGGGGCATGGGACTTGTGGGACAGGACACTTGGGGATCTGGAGTTTTGGCAGAGAGGCAGAATCTTTTATTCTTGTGGGGAGATGCAGGGGTTGTAGGGAAATAAAACTTGTTGAGGGCTGAGGGGGGTTGTGAGGATGCTCAGCTCCCAGTCTTCCTGCAGTTTTAGGGACTCAAGGGACTCGGCCCCCGTGCTCTGGTTGCTAGGGCAACTTCATTTTTTTTTAGAGCTTTGATGTTGTTCCTAATCTCCCCTTGCCCTTCTTCAGTAGTGCCTCCCCTTCATCAGGGAACTAGGAGAGGAGAAGGCAGAAACTTGAGGAACCCCTTCCTCTCTGAGGGCCCCATCTTTGTTCTAAGTTTCCCATTTCTGTTCTCCAGGTCAGGCGCCACTCTCAGGGCCCCCAGGGGCCACCATGCCAGCTGGGGGCCGGGCCGGGAGCCTGAAGGACCCCGATGTGGCTGAGCTCTTCTTCAAAGATGACCCTGAAAAGCTCTTTTCTGACCTCCGGGAAATCGGCCATGGCAGCTTTGGGGCCGTGTACTTTGTGAGTTGAAGCTTGGGAGGGTGGAATAGGGATTGGGACTCTCTTCCCACTGTGGACTCCCAAACATCCCTCAGCCTTTCCTGCTCTCTCCTGCTGGACCAGCAAGTCTTCCTGCTACCCTGTGCTCCCTCTGGGGGACTCACTACCTTCTGGTCTGGTCCTCTAGGCCCGGGATGTCCGGAATAGTGAGGTGGTGGCCATCAAGAAGATGTCCTACAGTGGGAAGCAGTCAAATGAGGTGGGTCAGGCCTGACAGACTGGGTCAGAGGTATGGACCCCAGTCTTAAGGTACAGGCTGAGTAAGCCTCTCCTCCTCTGACCTTCTCTCAGAAGTGGCAGGACATCATCAAAGAGGTGCGGTTCCTACAGAAGCTCCGGCATCCCAATACCATTCAGTACCGGGGCTGTTACCTGAGGGAGCACACGGCTTGGGTGAGCTGCCCCCTGACATTGCCCTGATCTTTACTACCACTCAGGCCCATTCTTATCCTGGTCCAGTCTCTTAGGTGGGCCCTGTACAGGTGTTGTTGTGCAGGTTTTGGGAAGGAGGAAATCTCTCCCACCCTCTTTAGTGCTCAGACAAACTCAGGATCAGCAGTGTGCGTCCAGAAAGGGAGGCTGGTTTGAAGAGTGACATAGACTGTTAGCAGTTGAAAGGGGGCATGTGGGCTGGAGGAGCTGAAGATTAAATGGGGCTTTGAAGGGATTCAGATGGGGGAGGTGGCAATGTCTTGAGCTCTTTCCAAGGTAAGACTTGACTCTAGGAACTCCTTCCCTACCCTCTCATTTTCTCAGTTGCCCTTTCTCTGTGTTGTTTCCCTGGGGAGCATTGTTTGAGTGAAAGATAGGCAAAGAAGCGATCTGTTTTGGATCTCTTCCCGAGGGAGATGGGCGAGAGGTAGCCAGATTTGCTCATATCTTACCCTTGACCCTTCCTTAGCTGGTGATGGAGTATTGCCTGGGCTCAGCTTCTGACCTTCTAGAAGGTAAGTGACTCTGGCCAACAAGTGGGAGAAGGGAGAAGAGTAGAGGAACTATAGGGGAAGGGTTAAGGGGAGGTAGCTCCAGTCCCACCCCTTGGACTCCCCAAGTTTGATGTTTTTCCCTTACTCCTCAGTGCACAAGAAACCCCTTCAGGAGGTGGAGATTGCAGCTGTGACTCACGGAGCCCTTCAGGGCCTGGCTTATCTGCACTCCCACAACATGATCCATAGGTACATGCCACACTGATGATGGCTGGGAGGGGTGCTTTCTACATCACTCCTCATTCTGCTGGGCTGCAGTCTTGAAAACTTGATAATAAAACTCCTGCCCAGCCTTCCTGAGATGTGTGTCTTATCCCTGTGCTTTGCCTCTGGCAGAGATGTGAAGGCTGGAAACATCCTGCTGTCAGAGCCAGGCTTGGTGAAGCTGGGGGACTTCGGCTCTGCATCTATCATGGCACCTGCCAACTCCTTTGTGGGCACCCCATACTGGTGAGTGCATGTGGTGGTGAGCAGAGAGAGCTCCCAGGATGTTGGGAACAGGAGTTGGCAGGGTCTGGGCGGGTGATTAGCCTCTCTCTCTCCTGACCATTCTCCCAGGATGGCTCCAGAAGTGATCCTGGCAATGGATGAGGGGCAGTATGATGGCAAGGTGGATGTCTGGTCCTTGGGCATAACCTGCATTGAGCTGGGTAAGGACATTCTCCTCTCTGCTCCCTTCTCTCTTTCTTACTATCCCTACACCATTCCATCCTCAGATGCCTCCAAGCATCTTTCCATTTTGAATCTATCCTTGATCCTCAATGCAGCTGTCAAATACTGCCAGTTCTTAGACCTAAAGATTTCATAGCATTCATCTCTTCCTGTTCACTACTCTAGTTCTAAATCTTTTTTGAGTGCCCACCATGTGCCATGCACTCTGCTAGTAGATTTTGGGACTATAGCAGCCAACAAGTTCCTCTTGGAAATTATATTCAAGTTGGGGAAATAGGCATGTTTTCTCTCAATGTAATAAAAGCTGAATGGAGAAGTTACAGGAGCAGCACAACCATGAAACAAGGGACTTGACCTAGTTTAGGGGCTGTGGAAGGTCTCATTGTAGCAGAGATGTCTAAACAGAACCGCAAGACAAATAATAGTTAGTGGTTGGAAGACTATAGGGAAAAGTATTCTAGACAGAGAGATAAGAGCAGGCATGTGGAGCTGAGAGTAGCTTCAGTTGTTTGGAGTATTGCATGTATTGCGAAGAGCAGTGAGTGATAAGGCCAGAGAGTTAGGCCCAGGTGAGGTGTGAGGCCTTGAAGCCATGCCAAGGTTCTCATTTCTGCCAACCAATGCTATTGAAACAGCTATTTAGTGAGAGAATGTTTTAAGGCCCCCAACATGGTACCAGGCACAAAATAGTTCCCCAAGAAAGAGATGCTATTAGTTACTCTTACCAGCTTCCGGCAGTGATCTTTCCTACTGCCAGTCTCTTCTTCCTTCCAGTCTCTCTTATGTCAGACAGATCTGCCTAAACTCTGTGCTGTTGTTTTACTCAGAGCCATCAGTGGCTTCCCATTGCCTTCAGGCTATCCCCTCTTTTCTTACACCAGGCTAAAGGTTCTGCTTCCTGAAGGCTGGCTCTCCCCTTCATGAGCTCCACTCCTGATTGTGCCATGAACTTTTGCTCTTAATTACCTTGGTTTGTACTGTGTCCTCTGCTTGAGGTCAGCGATTTGCACATTTCCTTTCCCTCCATCTGCACATGTCTGCATTTACCATTTAAGACCATGGCCAGACAGGCGATGGAAATATGTGAACCAGGCCAAGTATAAGAAAAATCTAGAGCTGTCTATTTATTGCTAGTTTTTGGTAGAAACATAGGTAGAGAGAAATATTTCTCTACTATTGAGAAAACCAATCAATTCTGATTACAAATGGCAACTGTTAGTATCGGAGAAACAATATGGAGGAGACTGGCAAACTGGACATTACTGTTCCCATGTGAAGAGAGCAGCGATTGCTCAGCTCCAGCCCATTGTTATGCAGGAATGTAGGCTCCATTTCAACAGAAACTGGAAGTTTAGGTTATTATTCTTTAATTGTTATTGTTGGAATTTAAAAGTTACTATTTAGGCCAAAACCATAAATAACACAAAACATTTGTCTGGGCCATAAGGGGCTTGCAACTTCTAATCTAAGGCCTGCCTCCGATACCCTTTTTTACAAAAGACCTTCCCTCAACCCCCTGCAAATGTGCCAGCTTGAAGGCCCACCATACACCCAGATTCCCAGCCATTTACCTTTTTCCTTCTTATGCCAGTTGGCACTTTGAGCTTGATGTGACTTCTTCAGTCCTATTTAACCTTTCCTGTTAGACTGGAAGTTCCTTCAGGACAAGGCTTGTCTATTGTTTGTCTTCCCCATGACACTTAAGCAAGTGTTTTGCTCTCATTTGGCACCTAATAAATAGGAGTTTGGCCAATAACTGAATGTGCTTCCTTCTGCCTTCATTGATACTTTTATAGATGTTATTTTCTTTGATCGCTATTCCACCCATATGTGGTGGAGAGGATGGATGTTGCATTTTACAGAGGAAGGAATTAATTGAGATTATGGGAATTGCTCAAGGTCATGCGGTGAGGATGTCAGGGAGCTGGGGTGTGAAACCAAGTCTTCTGATTTCCATTCCAGTCTCCTCTGCCTCCCTGCCACTTCTCACCTTCTTCCTCTTGACCTTTCTCTGTAGCGGAACGGAAACCACCGCTGTTTAACATGAATGCGATGAGTGCCTTATACCACATTGCACAGAACGAGTCCCCCGTGCTCCAGTCAGGACACTGGTGAGGACTGGGATTCCTGAGCCCGGGGGTTAGGCCATAGGGGTAAGGCTGCCTGGCTCATGCCCTCCTCACCCCACCCTCACCCTCCTGTGACTTCCAGGTCTGAGTATTTCCGGAATTTTGTCGACTCCTGCCTTCAGAAAATCCCTCAAGACAGACCAACCTCAGAGGTTCTTTTGAAGGTGAGGGCTCACTGGCCCAGTATGCTTCTAGAACTGTAGCTTGTTAAAGCCACAAGAAACCCCTCAGTAAAATTAGTGATTACCAATTCTTCTTCCACCAAGAATTTCATTTACGAATTCCTACCCCCACGACCAGTGCTGAGTGGACTCTGTTTTGCAGGATTTTGTCCACCAGACTGCATTTATTTATTAAGTAGTAATTTGTTTTCTCATCTTCTATTAATCAAAGATGTATATAATTGCCAGCCAGAGCTTCTGGTCAGTGTGCAATAACCAGGGTTACCACACTGATCTGATGTAATTCAAGCCGAAAGTCTGTATAGCCTTGTCATGGGTAAGTGTATGATTTCCCTTAGGTGATCTTCAGTTATCAAAAGTAAAGGGGCCCCCGTTCCCTTCAGAGATCCATGGAGAACTAAGGACCCCTATTTGGGAACTGACTTAGATTGTCTAGTTTGACCTACTTGTTTTGTAATTGTGGGATGCCTTATGAGGCCAAGAGAAGCCTAATGACATGTCTAGAAACACACAGCACTTTGATAGAGGACCTGGACTAGAATCCGTATTTCCTGGCTATTCTTAACCTGTCAGCCATTCCTGGAGGAACAAGAGACTGTCTGGGGAGTAGAGATGGGTGATAAAAATTAATGTAGGAGGAGGAGTTGGGGCAAGGCCAGCGTCAACCTGTGCTGGCCATGGGCCCCAGGGGAGTGCCTCAGGCCAGAGGGAATGCCACAGTCCATGGGATATTGGGATTCAGGGTGTGCTTGGCAGCAGACTTCAGTGTTCTCTTCCCCAGCACCGTTTTGTGCTCCGGGAGCGGCCACCTACAGTCATCATGGACTTAATCCAGAGGACCAAGGATGCTGTTCGGGAGCTGGACAACCTGCAGTACCGCAAGATGAAGAAGATACTGTTCCAAGAGGCACCCAATGGCCCTGGCGCTGAGGCCCCAGAGGAGGAGGAGGTGACCCAGCTTGCCCTGCCACCCTTCTTCACCACCATGTTGTGCTTGCCTCCCAGCAGCTGCTTGGCCTCCCCTTCCTTACCTCTCCTCACACCTTCTGTCTCCTTGTGCTACCTCCATGTGCACACCCCTTGTCATCCCCTTTCCCTGCCCAGCAGCCTGTGTCCTGTCCACAGGAAGCAGAGCCCTACATGCACCGGGCTGGGACGCTGACCAGTCTAGAGAGTAGCCACTCAGTGCCCAGCATGTCCATCAGTGCCTCCAGCCAGAGCAGCTCCGTCAACAGCCTAGCAGATGCTTCTGACAACGAGGAGGAAGAGGAAGAGGAAGAAGAGGAGGAGGAGGAGGAGGAAGGCCCTGAAGCCCGGGAGATGGCCATGATGCAGGAAGGGGAGCACACAGTCACTTCCCACAGCTCCATCATCCACCGGCTGCCGGTATGGAGCTCACCCTGAGTAGGCCTGACAACGGCAGGGCAGAGCCCTGGCTCTCCTGCTCAGGAATCACCTGGGTTCCCTGCTCTCCCTCCCAAGTGTGACTGCTCCTTCTCTTAAGTCTGATTGAGTATCCAGGGAAATCCCTTTGTGCCCGAAAACGACCTCTGAGCCTTGGGCATTCCTTCCACACCTCTTCCCCAGGGCTCTGACAACCTGTATGATGACCCCTACCAGCCAGAGTTGACCCCCGGCCCTCTCCAGCCACCTGCAGCCCCGGCTCCCACCTCTACCACCTCTTCTGCCCGTCGCCGGGCCTACTGCCGCAATCGGGACCACTTTGCCACCATCCGTACTGCCTCCCTGGTAAGTGTAGCCGTCCTCCCTCAGCCTGGATGCCCCAAACTATCTAAGTCCAGAAATGATTTTCTCCCTGTGGTATATCATTAAGTCCAGATGCCACCTTCACTTGCTCTCTCTTGTCTTCTCATCTTGGCCCTTTCATCTCACCCCGCCCCCTTCTCCCAACAGACTGTTTCAGTCACATTGCGCTTTGTGGTGTTGGTAAACTCTCACTCCATTTTTGTGGATGGGCTTAAACAGCATCTCCTGGAGTGCTTTACAGGCTCCTGGCCTGCCAGGTGTTTCATTTCCCTGTGCTGTGGTGCTCCTGAACAGCATTATGACTGGTTTGCTGGATTCTGTGCCCTTAGAGGGCAGGGATGGTGTACAGATACCTGCCTGTACCCGTAACTGACTTTCAGGCCTATGCACATGCCTGTATTTAATCCTTCCAGCTATTTGGGGAGGGAGAGGCTATGATCCCATTTGTGAGGTGAGACAGCTGTGACTCAGAGGAGCTGCTTGCCCAAGGCCCTTGGCCAAGCACCTTTGTGGTTCTCAAATTCTGTAAGCAGGACCTTGGTTCTCTCCTAAAATCTAGTCATGATGGTCTTTTTCTCAGTTCACAGGAAAAAGTGGGTAGACTTTTCCTAAAACATAGTTTTTCATTGATACTTTTAATAAACTTTTATATTACATTCTTGTTTAGCTGTAAGCTTTGACAATCCCCTTGGAGACCTATATACTTCCATTGATATCACCCCTTGACAATGGGATCTAGTTCAAACTTCAGAAGAGGATATCTAGGCCCAGTGTTCTTGTTATTCCAACATCCCATGGTCCACATTCCGCCTCCTTACCTGGGCTGCAAAGGGTCTTCAGTGTTTGCTGAAGGGGAAGGAACTAACACTTGACGGTTCACAGTGTTCTAGACACTATTACATAGGTATCAAACTTAGTCTCCACAGCCTCCTATGAGGAGGTATTGTTGTCCTGTTTAACAGAACTAAGGCTTAGCAATATTAACTTGCTTGAGGTCACATAACGGTTAGTAGGTGGCAAAGCTGGGATCTGGGCCTAGGTCTGTCTGATTCTTTTACTCTTTTGAACTAATCTGAATTGTTCCTACTTTTACACCAGACCCTGTGCACAACACCTTTTATTGTCTCATTCAGTCACACTAGCCTGTGAAGTAGGTGATGACTCCATTATCCAGTTGAGGTGGCAGGCTCAAGAGAGGTTAAGTGTGAGGAAGATACCAAATGAGAATTAAACCCATGAGTCTAAAACCAATATTCTTCCCCCATGGAGTGTGAAGACTATGTAGGTTAGTAAAATGGAGTCCAGGGCTGTGCCCCACTTCTCATCCTCTCTCCCACCCAGGTCAGCCGACAGATCCAGGAGCATGAGCAGGACTCAGCTCTGCGGGAGCAGCTGAGCGGCTATAAGCGTATGCGACGACAGCACCAGAAACAGCTGCTGGCGTTGGAGTCGAGGCTGAGGGGTGAACGTGAGGAGCATAGTGCACGGCTGCAGCGGGAGCTCGAGGCACAGCGGGCTGGCTTTGGGGCTGAGGCAGAAAAGCTGTCACGGCGGCACCAGGCCATCGGAGAAAAGGAGGCGCGAGCTGCCCAAGCTGAGGAGCGTAAGTTCCAACAGCACATCCTCGGGCAGCAGAAGAAGGAACTGGCCGCCCTGCTGGAAGCGCAGAAGAGAACCTACAAACTTCGGAAGGAGCAGCTAAAGGAGGTGGGATGGGGCTGCAGCAGTGAGTGGGGTTGATGGTGGGTGAGGCAGGCCCTGACCTCCTTGCTCTCCCCACTGCCCTTTCTTAGGAGCTTCAGGAGAACCCCAGCACTCCCAAGCGGGAGAAGGCTGAGTGGCTTTTGCGGCAGAAGGAGCAGCTACAGCAGTGCCAGGCAGAGGAGGAGGCTGGGCTGCTACGGCGGCAGCGCCAGTACTTTGAGCTGCAGTGTCGCCAGTACAAGCGCAAGATGCTGCTGGCTCGTCACAGCCTGGACCAGGATCTGCTGCGAGAGGTAGGCCATCCCATCCCCTGTTCCCCTCTCAGATCCCAGGCACCTCCCCTTTTCCGTTTGCCTCACTTGTGGTCATCTTTCCCTTCTGCCCTCATTCATGCTATGGCTCAGCTTCTCTTCAACACCCCTTCAGCTTCTCATGCCCATCAGACCCTGCTAGTGTTCCCAGGCCAGCCTGGAGCTTGGCTCCCTTCCACCTCTCATCTACACCTCTCATCTCCTCACCCTTAGCTCCCTCTGCCAAGGAGTCCTGGGGCTCTCACTTCCTTAACATCAGCAAGGCCTCCTGACCAGGTTCTGGGCCCTTGCCTCCCTTTTGCCGTAGGACTTGAACAAGAAACAGACACAGAAGGACTTGGAGTGTGCATTGCTGCTACGGCAGCATGAGGCCACACGGGAGCTGGAGCTACGGCAGCTCCAAGCTGTACAGCGCACACGGGCTGAGCTCACCCGCCTGCAGCACCAGACGGAGTTGGGCAACCAGCTGGAGTACAACAAGCGGCGTGAGCAAGAGTTGCGGCAGAAGCATGCAGCCCAGGTTCGCCAGCAGCCCAAGAGCCTCAAAGTACGTGCAGGCCAGCGTCCCCCGGGCCTCCCGCTCCCCATTCCTGGGGCTCTGGGACCATCCAACACAGGCACCCCTAGAGAAGAGCAGCCCTGCTCATCTGGCCAGGAGGCAGTCCTGGACCAAAGAATTCTGGGAGAGGAGGAGGAAGCAGTTCCAGAGAGAAGGATTCTGGGAAAGGAAGGGGATGCCTTGGAACCAGAGGAGCAGAGGATATTGGGGGAAGAATCAGGAACCCCTAGTCCCAGTCCAGAAAAACATAGGAGTTTGGTTGATGAGGAAGTTTGGGGTCTACCTGTGGAAGAGACAGAGGAGCTTAGAGTCCCATCCTTGGCACCCCAGGAGAGGAGCATTGTGGGCCAGGAGGCGTCCGAGGCATGGAGAGTGTGGGGGAAGGAGGATGGGGGCCTCTTGGATGAGGAGTTTGAGCTTGGCTGGGTCCAGGGTCCGGCACTGACCCCAGTCCCTGAGGAGGAGGAGGAAGAGGAGGAGGGGGCTCCATTTAGGACCCCGAGGGATCCTGGAGATGGCTGTCCCTCACCAGACATCCCCCCTGAGCCCCCTCCAACACATCTGAGGCCTGGCCCTGCTAGCCAGCTCCCTGGACTCCTGTCCCATGGCCTCTTGGCTGGCCTCTCCTTTGCAGTAGGATCCTCCTCTGGCCTCCTGCCCTTACTACTACTTCTGCTGCTACCACTGCTGGCAGCCCAGGGTGGGGGTGGCTTGCAGGCAGCGCTGCTGGCCCTTGAAGTGGGGCTGGTGGGCCTGGGAGCCTCCTACCTACTTCTTTGTACAGCTCTGCACCTGCCCCCCAGTCTGTTCCTACTCCTGGCCCAGGGAACTGCACTGGGGGCTGTCCTGAGTCTGAGCTGGCGCCGAGGCCTTATAGGTGTCCCTCTGGGCCTTGGGGCTGCCTGGCTGCTAGCCTGGCCAGGCCTGGCTCTACCTCTGGCAGCTGTGGCAGCTGGGGGCAAATGGGTGCGGCAGCAGGGCCCCCGGCTGCGCCGGGGCATCTCTCGATTATGGTTGCGGGCTTTGCTGCGTCTGTCACCCATGGCCTTCCGGGCCCTGCAGGGCTGTGGGGCCGTGGGTGACCGCGGCCTGTTTGCACTCTACCCCAAGACCAACAAGGATGGCTTCCGCAGCCGTCTCCCTGTCCCTGGGCCCCGGCGGGGTAATCCTCGCACTGCCCGACACCCACTGGCCCTGTTGGCAAGGTTTTGGGCCCTGTGCAAGGGCTGGAACTGGCGCCTAGCACAGGCCAGCCAGGGTTTAGCCTCCCACTTGCCCCCCTGGGCCATCCACACACTGGCCAGCTGGGGCCTGCTTCGAGGTGAGAGGCCCAGCCGTATCCCCCGGCTACTACCACGCAGCCAGCGCCGGCTTGGCCCCACTGCCTCCCACCAGCCACCACCAGGGACTCAAGCTGGGCGGAGATCCCGACCCCGCCAGTCCCGGTCCCTGCCTCCGTGGAGGTGACCAACTCTAGCTCTTCCCAGCCCAAATTAAGAGCATTGAGCACTTTATCTCCCACTAGTGAGTGAAGTTTCTCCAGACCCAGGCCTCTCTTCCCTTTCACCCCTCCTTCCTCGGTATGTTTCCCCACCTCACCCCCTAGCCCTTTGGGCCTCTAGACAGGCAGCCTCCCCCGCCGTGGAGTCAGGAGATTATACTTTGTGTTCTCCTGATGCTCCTCCCCCACCCTAAGTTATTGCTGTTCTCCCGCTGTGTGTGTGCTCATCCTCACCCTCATCGACTCAGGCCTGGGGCCAGGGGTGGCAGTGGGTGGGAAGAGTCATGTTTTTTTTCTCTCTTTGATTTTGTTTTTCTGTCTCCCTTCCAACCTGTCCCCTTTCCCCCACCAAAAAAAGAAAAAGACAAACACAAATAAAATATCTGAGCGGAACTGTACCTTTGGCCCAGGCTGCCTCTGTCTGCTTTGTCCTGCCGCCTAGCCTCCCCGGTATGCCCCCAATCTGGACCCTTGGCCCCCAGTTCCATGACTTTCACCCCATCTACGTTACCTCAACCCCTTTCACTCCTCAGCCTCATCTTCTACCTTCATAGCTTCGTTGCACCATGACCACTACCAGCTCCAGGCTCTGGGCCCTGTTGAGCTTCCACAGAGCTTCTTGGTCCCACAGTTCCCCTGTTTGTGGATTCCTTCCAGAGAGTCCTTAGGTTCTGGGTCCTTCTGTCCTCATTCCCTGCCTTTTCTCCCAACCCATTCCTTATGTGGTTCCCTTCTGTCTGGGAGCTGAATTTCTCTCCTGGCATCAGGCATTACCCTGAAGGGCTGGGGGATGGGCCTGCAAACCGTCCACTGTAGAGGGTGGTGAGTTCGGGGGCCCAGGCAGAGCGTGGGGGCTGTGGAAATGGGATTGGCTGTGGGCTTGGAGTGGGAGCCGAGTGTGTGAGGGGCCGGGCTGGAATGTGCAGATCTGGTCAGGGTGGCAACTGCTGGCCCTTTGAACTTGTCAGGCCCTTTCTGGCCACCTCCTTTGCCCCTTTCCCTTACGTGGCCGGAGATGGGGCCACCCTTTCTTATCCGTTTCTTAGCTGGATGCTTATCCTTTTTCCCTCCCTCCCACCCTGAGGTGATGAACCTGGGACTTCCTCTGTCTTTCCTCAGCTGTGTTGCTCTCTTCCTTGGGTGTTGACTGATGTGGTTTTCTCATTCACTCTTGTGCGTATTCTGTATCTGCTCACAGGCTTCTACCTCAAGGTCATATTTTCTCTTTTGCATGGTCAGAGTTTCTTGTGTGTATTCAGTACTCTAAAGATTCTTAGTTCCCTGTCCATGAATTCTTCCTGCTGTTTCTTGTGAGTTTTCTACCCGACTCTGTGAACATGCTTTTGGAATCTGTCTTGTTTTCTTTGCATCTCTTGCTCATTGAGAATCTTCCTGATCTCTCTCAATACAATCCCATCTCTCCATGTCTGTCTGTATACAGCTCCCCCCGCCCCCTCTGTCTAACATGTTTTCTGTTTCTCTCCCTCTCCCTGTCTCTGTTTCTGTCTCCTCTCCTCCTCTCTTTTTTCTCCCCCTCTCCCCTGGTTGTTCCTCCTCCTCCTCCTTCTTCCCCCTGCCCCCATCTCCCCTCGGTCCGTCCACTGCATAGTCTAAGGAGCTGCAGATCAAGAAGCAGTTCCAGGAGACGTGTAAGATCCAGACTCGGCAGTACAAGGCTCTGCGGGCACACTTGCTGGAGACGACGCCCAAAGCTCAGCACAAGAGCCTCCTTAAGCGGCTCAAAGAAGAACAGACCCGCAAGCTGGCAATCCTAGCCGAACAGTATGACCAGTCCATCTCAGAGATGCTCAGCTCACAGGCGGTGAGGCCTGGGGTCCAGGGAGGGAGCATGGTGGAAGTTGGCCTCTGTATTTCCAGCTTAGCTGTGGGCAGCGGAAGTGGAGGGTGTGGACAGAGATAGGGCTTTTTGTTCTTGGAAAACCCAGATGCTCTCACACTGTTGGTATTCTCTACAATGGTTTTTTTATTATTTCTCTTAAGTATTTTCTTAAGGTCATGAAAAAGCCAGCCTGCTTACTCCACCAAGAACCACCAAGGAAAGAGTGGCTATAATTTTTTCCTGGGCCTGAGTTAGTTTAATTTGTGAACTGGGATCAAATTAAATGATTGTGGCCCTCAGGCCAATTTGCTCAGACTTCTGGAGGATTTTGAAGATTGCTGTCTAAAAGTGATCACACGTAACACTGGAATGGGCCACTTAAAATAACACAGTGTAAAAAGTAAAAGTGTCCTTATTCATTGCCATTCCCTCACTTAATTCCACCTCCCAGAGGTAACTGTTGTTAATAATTAGTGTTTTAGATTTTTTTCCTATGCATATTTGGAAAATTGTATAAAAGTTTTAAACAAAAATGGAATCATACTTTACATACTGTTCGCTAGCTTCTTTTTCCACCTAATACTTCTTGGATATCTTTCCATGTCAATACACATATCTCATTTTTTAAGAGAATAGAATTTTCCATGGTATGGATGTACCATAATATATTTAACCCATCCCTTATTGGTGGACATTTAGGTTGTTTCCAGTATTTTGCTATTACAACGCTTCAATGAACACCTTCGCGCACATGTGCAAGTATACCTGGGGGATAAATTCCTGGAAGTGTAATTGCTGTGTCACAGGGTATGACGACCTTTCATTTTGATAGATGTTGAGACTGGCTGCTTCTTGAAACCTTAGGGCCCAGGCCTACTGGGGCAGGGGAGGATCGTGGGGGTGGGGGAGGAAGCCCCTAAACTTGTTCTTCCTAATCTCTAGCTACGGCTTGATGAGACCCAGGAGGCAGAGTTCCAGGCCCTGCGGCAGCAGCTTCAACAGGAGCTGGAGCTGCTCAATGCCTACCAGAGCAAGATCAAGATCCGCACGGAGAGTCAACACGAGAGGGAGCTACGGGAGCTGGAGCAGAGAGTAGCTCTGAGGCGGGCACTGCTGGAACAGCGGGTAAGAGGGCTGGGCCTCCAGGATGGGGTGGGGAGTGCAGCCCCCACCCCCGGACCCTCTAACCTCTGTTCTGGGCGCCCCAGGTGGAAGAGGAGCTGCTGGCCCTGCAGACAGGGCGCTCTGAGCGAATACGGAGTTTGCTTGAGCGGCAGGCCCGTGAGATCGAGGCTTTCGATGCTGAGAGCATGCGGCTGGGCTTCTCCAGTATGGCTCTGGGGGGGCATCCCAGCTGAGGCCGCTGCCCAGGGCTATCCCGCTCCACCCCCTGCCCCCGCCTGGCCCTCCCGTCCTGTTCCCCGTTCAGGGGCACATTGGAGCCACGGCCCTCCTCCACCAGGCATGCCCCCACCAGCCTGGCGTCAGCCCTCTCTTCTGGCTCCCCCGGGCCCCCCAAACTGGCTGGGACCCCCAGCGCAGAGTGGGACCCCCCGTGGTGGAGCCCTGCTGCTGCTAAGAAATAGCCCCCAGCCTCTGCGGCGAGCAGCCTCAGGGGGCAGTGGCAGTGACAATGTGGGCCCACCTGCTGCCGCAGTGCCTGGGCCTCTGAGCCGCAGCACCAGTGTTGCTTCCCACATCCTCAATGGTTCCTCCCACTTCTATTCCTGAAGTACAAGGTGGATGAGCAGATGAATGAGACGGGTGGGTGGAGCCTGACCCTGAAGGGCTATAAGCCTAAGGTCTACCCAAGAGTAGGGGACAGGATGTTGGCTCCAGCTCCCCTTAAACCTCATCTCATGAGCTTCTTGGGCTGGCAAGTGGCCCAAGGCCAGCTTGGGCATAGGTGCCTCAAGGCTGACCAGGAGCCCCTGCCTCCCCACCATGGTGCCAGGGTCTCTCTCCATCATGGCCTCGGGAAAGGAGGGAGATACGCGTGTCAAATATTCATCTAGTCCCCTGGGGGAGGGGAAGGGTGGGTCTAGATATATTATATAAAGAGAACTATACTACCCGCTGGAATGGGGCCACGGACTGGGGACGCCAGGCCCCCCAGATCTGGGATGTTGCAGAGCAGGTCTGGGGTCTGGGGTGGGGAGAAAGGGAGGAAAAGGCCTTCCTGAAAGAAGGATCAGGATGAGGTCTTGGGGTCAGGATGCCTGGGTCTCCATCCCCCCATTGCTGTCTGACGTCCTGTGCCGTCTTGTCTTTTATCTTTTTTTTTTTTAATTGAAATCAGAGCTGGGGCAGGGAAACAAGATAAGAACCTTTCGAAGGGGCTGCTCCCAGGCCTGGGAACAGTCATGGGAGCTCCTCCCAGCTACGGGGCTGGCACGGAGCCCCATGGCAAGCTTTTAATAAACTGTTGGTTATTCTAACAGATCCCAGGACTCACCCTTTCTGTGAAGGTGTGTGTTAAGGATTATTCAGCGGCAGGTGATAGTGTTACTTGTATTTAAAAAAAGAACTTTCTGGGCTGTGTAACTAAAATTTTCAGTGGTTTTACTGACTTTGAACATGACTAGATTCAGAGATTCAAAAGAAATCATTAGACTGGCCCTCTGCTTCCCTTTGCTTTGGCTTCAGATTTCTTTAGAAGGTTCACCTCACCCACAGGCCCCTGGCAGCTCCAGACTTACATCTTACCAACAACCTCAACAACAAGAATTCCAGCAGCAGTCCTAAAGTGACTTCATTGGCTTGATCGGTAGCCAGAAACCGGGGGTGCTCTAGATTGGTCGGGTCTAGGTCCTGTACCCAGCCCTTCAATGTTGACAGAGTCAGCCCATGAACTAAGTGGCTGTTTCCAGAAGGGGGAAGACAGACATAAACAACAGCTGTTCCCAAGTCCTTTCATTTTGTGCATCACATTCTTAAGGCCAATTATTTGGATCCTCCTCTCAATTAGGCATCAGGTTATCAGACACAGCTAAAAGGTGATTAGAGGGGCCCACTGGTCAGGCTGGAGGAGGGAGCCATGCTGATCAAGCCTGGTGGCAGACTGGATTGCAAGGCCTAGAGGCCAGGACTTTGGGGAATCCGGGGAAATCAAAGGGAACCAGACCAGGGGGGCAGTGGCTGCTACTCAGCTTCCTGGACCAAAGCATAGCAGGTGAGGGTGGGGCACCAGTTTTGATGAGGTGATTCAAACACTCCTTTATTGAGTCTTAAAAAATAAATTCCTGTAAACACCTTAAACAGAATGTGGAGCTGAGAAGTAGGATCCCAATAACTTGTGTCCCTGCGGGCTACAGGTCTTCTCTGAAGAAGGCTGCTTCTGCTCTGCAGGCGTAGGGTGGGGGGTTGCTACATATGCTTTCTACAAGTGGAAAGTCCTTCCTGGGGACCAGGGGGTGGAGGAGCTGGAGCTCAGTTGCTCTCCCCGTCACTGCTGATGATGCCACGCATGTGGGACCAGTCTGGAGGTGGGGGGCGGGGCCGCTCTTCATCGGAGTCTAGGGTCCGGCGGTATAGCTCCCCTGGTGGGGATGCTTCTCCTGAAGGGTTCCAGGCTGTGCGTCTACGTGGCCGGCCTAGAGGTGAGGAGGAGGCAGGATATGATTTGTATGGGAAAGTCCACTCCACGTCTGCTCCTGGTTTGTAGGAGGAAGCCCCTCACCTGAACTGCTGATGATGTTGGTAATATCCAAGGAGGCCACCTCAGCTGCCTCCTCCCGCTGTTCCTTCAGGGCCCGACACTTCTCTAAGGAAGGGTTACCTGGGGCAGAAGAAGCTTGTGATCCTCTCCTCCCCAGCAGCCAAGGCCCTCTCCAGCCAACCCCCCGAGGACCATCGCCCCAGCCCTCCACCCTTCATCGCCCAGGGCCTTTCCGAGTCCTCGTCGCCCGGAGAACA